AAGATAATTTTTAAATATATATTTTATTGATTTTTTACAGAGAGGAAGGGAGAGGGATAGAGAGTTATAAACATCGATGAGAGAGAATCATCGATCAGCTGCCTCCTACACACCCCCCACTGGGGATGTGCCCGCAACCAACATACATGCCCTTGACCGGAATCGAACCCGGGACCTTTCAGTCCACAGACTGACGCTCTACCACTGAGCCAAACCGATTTCGACGAGGTACGTGCTCTTGATCAGAATTAAACCCAGGACCCTTCAGTCTACAGGCTGATGCGTCTAGCCACTGCTCTGGCTGGCTAGGGCTACCATATCTTTTATATTAGCTCCATCGGCTTGTCAATATTTGCTGAAACATTTTTTTCTATTGCTTCTCCAAGTGTGATTCCAAATGATTTCATATCTCAACATAATGGTCATTTGTCAGTTACTGAAAGCTTTCCAAATAGAGTATGTAAAGCTGTAAGTCTCTATTGGGCCAAAGAATTGCTGAGTTCAATGCACTATCAGTAGCCTTCAGCTGGCAGAAGCTGCAGGAGCCAAACAAGTGTCATTGATTAAAGAATAGCTTAAAAATGGTGTTTTCCATCACCCCCTGGGTGATTTAACGGCCTCCTTCTTAGGTACCTATATGTCTTTCATGCGTGTGTGTGTGTGTCTGTGTGTCTGTGTGTCATGCATGCCACCCGGTGCTGGTGAGATCCTTTCTGCCTCCATTGGAAGTGACAGAAGGAGACAGGGTCCCATCACAGAAGGTCCTCAGTGCAGTGGGAAATGAAGAAGGAAGCCCTGCCCTCAGACAGGCTGGGTTCAGCTCCGCCTCCACTGTCAGACTTGGGGTGGGAGACAAGGACTCTATGCTTCATTTCTTTATGTGCAAAACAGACATAACACCCCCAGGTCGTGGCCTCTCCCCTCAGGTTGTACCCCTCTTCCCCCGCCGTCTCCCCCCCGCCCCCCACATGGACCTACCTGCAGGCCTTCGTGAGGATCCTATGAGAGCACACAGCTGGTGCTCAGGGAGTGTGAATATTGTTGAGGCCACAGCAATCACCCTACTTTCAATGCATTTTGTATACAGTGCTTGAAAAAACACTTCACTATCATTTAGTCACCTGCCCGGCATGAGTCAAACACCTCATCCATTAACCCACACACGGAAGAAAACAGAACCAAGCCAACCTCCGTGAACCATGGTGCCATCTGTTCACCCCTTGGAAGAAGCCACTCCCCTCACCTGGCTTGTTCTCTCTTTGGTTTGAAATAAGACCCACTAGGAGAAAGTCTGAATTCATCTTCGCAGAGACACCTTCCTGGTTCCAATAGCTACCATCCCTTTCTTTCCTGAAACTTTGACAGGTTGTCTACACATTACCTGTCAACACTCTTTTGCTGTGTTGCACTTCTGTTTAATGTTGTGAGCATGCAGAAATTCTATTTTTCTGACAAATTAAGTAGTCTGTTGGTTATTTATAGTAATTCTTGGAGCACAACCTTTTCTCTCCTGGTCAAGAAGAAATCTCAATAAATGATGTTACAAGGAGAGTTTTCAGTTTGCATTTTTTCATTAATAAAAAGGAAACCATTGCAAACTTGAGAACTTTATAAATAGCAACCAGTTGCTTGTAACAAAAAAATCTCAAAATGACAGTGATGTCATGACACTGAATTTGAGAACCACTGCTCTCGATTTACAATTTGATCTTCAATGTACAGGCAGTTCTCACCAAATTGTGTTGTAATAGGCTTAAAAGTTAATTTGTCAATTGGCATTTTGTACTTTAAAGCTTGTTTTCCCATAAGCTGTGCAATAAACACACACACACACACACACACACACACAAAAAAAAAAAAAAAAAACCCCACAAAAAACAGAGGTTCTCAGGATATCCCACCACAGACATGCCATCTGGGTGTTGTGTCTGGACTTAACTCAAGGTACTGAAGTCCACAGTGTCACTGCCTGGTTCACATGGGGGTGTGGAGAGGAAAGGTCACTGTGTATGAAGGTATTAAGTAACTAAGGAGGAGACAGAGACATCAGGGAGGGGAAAGCCATCAGATAGGAGAAAGGTGGGTGCAGGTGGAGCTGTGATGTTTGAGGGACAGGAGCCCCTGTATCTCTAAAGGAAGATGGTGGGAATGACCAACTTATGATTATATTGTAAACTGTAAACTAGAGGCCCCGGTGCAGGAGATATGTACACTGAGGGGGAGGGAGAGTCCCTCAGCCCTGCCTGCACCCTCTTGCAGTCTGGGACCCCTTAGGGGATGTCTGCCTGCCGGCTGACACCCAATTCCCCCAGGGATTGGGGATGGGGTCTAAGCCGACAGTCAGACATCCCTATCCCTCTCGCAGGCCAGGGTTCTCACAATCCGGGACCCCTCGCTCCTTACTGCCCGCCTGCAGTGGAGGTGGGAGAGGCTCCCGCCACCACCGCTGCTCTTGCCAGCCAGCCCCCAGCCGCGAGCTGGGCTTCTGGCTGAGCAGCGCTCCCCATGTGAGCGCACTGACCCCCAGGGGGCAGCTCCTGCATTGAGCATCTGCCCCCTGGTGGTCAGTGCATATCATAGAGAGCAGTTGTTCAGTCGTTTGTTCGATTTGCATATTAGGGTTTTGTATAGGATGGTGCTGGCTTAGACTGTTATATGTTCAATTTTGTCTTTCTGGCTAAAATGAAACAATTATTGATCACAGAGAAGGTGTCTTTTATGCTACATTATGTTCCACTCAATGCCTTACATGTAATAAAACCTTGAACATAGTAGTTTCCCAGGCATGTAAAGTGATTGGTGGCATTTCATTATATATTATAGGTGTCCCCAAAACATGTTTACACACAATGTCTGTAGATTCCATTACATTTTGAAAATGAAGTGTATTTTAATAAACACTGCCTTTATAATTGATCAAAGTGTGTATATATATTTTTGGACCCTATATCTTTATCGATCCCTGGAAAATTACGCTGATGAAATCTCACCATATTTAGACAAAATGTCATCTTCACATGTGTAGCTGATGTTTTTGTTGTTACTTTTCAAAGAACTAACTTGGGTACTACTGTTTACCCAAGCCTTTCATTTGCTAAGATAAATACTGGTTTTGCTATATAAATTTTGTTAATCTGCTTATATAGGTTTTCTTCCTCTCTTCTTATTGGTTTGAGTAGTGGAATCATTTTATGGTCCAGGGCTTCAAGAACTGGGACATGTAGTTAATACTTTTAAATTTTATTTATTAAAAACATTTTCTGCCAAAACCGGTTTGGCTCAGTGGATAGAGCGTCGGCCTGCGGATTGCAAGGTCCCTGGTTCGATTTCGGTGAAGGGCATGTACCTTGGTTGCGGGCACATCCCCAGTAGGGGGTGTGCAGGAGGCAGCTGATCAATGATTCTCTCTCATTGATGTTTCTAACCTTCTATCCCTCTTTCTCTCTGTAAAAAATTAATAAAATATATATTTTTTTAAAAACATTTTCTGGGGGAGGCTGAGGGAAGGCCAATGGCGGGGGGGTGGGGGTGGGGGAAGGAGATATATGTACTACTTCGAACAATAAAAAATAATAAATTAAAAAATCATTTTTATTATGGAATATTTCAAACATATATTAGAGAAAACAGTGTAATGACCCTTATATATTGACTGTCATCCCTCCCCCTTTTTTAACCCACGTCCCTGTGCTTGAGGATAGAACCAGAGGACTGGAAACTATCCAGAATGAAGACATGATACGGAGGGAATCGCCCATTTTTAACAATGATCATCATGGATAACCTTGTTCTCAATTTCAAACAGGATATTCTCCTAAGTAAGGTGTTTGCTGAGTTTTGTTTCTGTTTGTTTTGTTTCCTTTGGTAGATTCCCTGAAGGATATTCTTATCACTATTCTCCCAAGAGTGTTATTGTTTTTGTTATGTATAGATGTTGAAGTTTATCAAATACTTTTCTTACATAACCATTTTATTTAAAATTTTTGTGCTGTATTTCACTGGTTTGGGCGGAGTTATGACCCTGTGGGGAGGGTTTTGTGTGATGGGGGGATGTGGGAAGCCAGACTTAAGGGCCTCACTGCTTCAGAGTGGACAGCCCAGGACCTGCACACCCACATTCTTTGGGAGCACAAGGCCCTCGCCCACTACCCCTATTTGCATAAATCTATTAAGATTCTATTTTCCTTATGAATCTCCAATTGTGATTTTATTAACCAAGACTTTGTAATGTCATGTGCCTGGACTCTGGGGGTCACCAGAAAGCCTTCTCAAAACTGATCAAAGCCAATCAAAAGCAAGAAATGGCCTGGTAGGCACCTTGTTCACTTGGTTCACAGCAATCTTTCCAGGGAAGGAACGAAGGTTGCTTTCCCAAGAGATGGCACAAAGAACCTCAAGACATTTTTGGGACCTCAAAAACTTGAAGATTACAACCAAACCCTTGCAGGCAGAGTCCCTGGGGACATATAAACCGACCACCAAAGTTCCCGGAATTCTTGGACCCCTGAGCCCCCTGAGATCCCCAAACCTTAAGTCCCCAGCAACACTTCCGGGTCCCTAAGGCCCCCGATATCCCCAGAGAACCCCGGGCCGCCGAAACCCCTGAGATCTCCGGACTCTTGAGTCCCCGAGAACCCCGCGTGGCCGAGACTCGGGAGATACCAGGAACCCCGAGACCCCGAGACCCCCCGAGACTCCCGGATCCCAAGGCCCACCCGAGACCCTCCGGACGCCAAGATTCCCCAGAATCCCCGGGCCCCTGAGTTTCCGTAGACCTCTGGATGGCGAAGACACCAGACCCCAAGGGCAGCCAGTCAGGACCCTTCCTTTATTCCGCAGGATCTGAACCTCCGGGCCGCTCCATTCCGGGATCCTCAACCCCCAGCGCGCCCCTAGCCCACCCCGGCCTGTGACTCCTCTGCCAGGGACCTCCGGCCAGGCGGGGGCGCTGTGTGACCCGAGGTCTGTGCGAAGTAGATGCAGGAAACTCCCGGAAGTGACGCGAGGTCGGCGGAAGTTCCGCCTCTGTCCCCCACGGAAGTCCCGCCCCCCTCCCTCCACCTAAGTCCCGTGTGTCTGCCGGCTTCCCTCGTGGCCGACCGCGGACATGGCGCACTACAACTTCAAGAAGATCACGGTGGTGCCGTCCGCCAAGGTAAGCGGGCCGGAACCTTCCGTTCTCGCCTCTTTCCTCGGCGGATCGCCGGAGGGCCCGGGCCCGCAGCGCTCTTCCGCGGGGCCCCGCTACCCAGGCCGCATCCTCAAAATTAGGGGTCTCCCAGCTTAGGCCCACCCCCGCTCCCCCCAAAAAAGGGTGGTTTCCTTTCTCAGACTATATAGTCCTCTACAGAGACGAGGGATTCCTTCCTCAGTGATTGGAGTCTTTTCCCAGAGGGAAAATGGGATTTTTCCTGACATTAGGGTCCCGTCCCCCCCCAACACCCTCGAGGTGAGGGGGTCCTTCCTCAGACATTTGGGTTCTCCTCCGAGAGGAGGGGTCCTTTCCCGAGGGGAGGGGAGGCGGAGAGCTTTTTGAACCAGAGAACTTTAGAACTGGGCCCTCGATTCATAAAGGTGGCAGGTGGAGGAGGGAGTAGCTATCTGGAATCTGACATCTGTATCCCTCCTCCCTTCTGGTGCTGCAGGCACTTGTCAGCTGGGGAATTCACTCAAAAATCTTCAATGTCCTTGGTCACCTTAACAAGTCCTAGGAAATTATAAACGGTGGAATTTCGTTTTAGCCATCATTTTATGTGCTTTTAAAGTTGTAGGATTGTTTGGGGTTTGTTGTTGTTGTTGTTTGTTTAATACTGTGGTTTTTTTTTCCTGATTTACGCTTGAGTTGTCTGACTACTTAAGTTTCAAAGGTTTTTAGGTGTTTGGGAATTAAGATAAAAGATTTATTTCAGCAGCCATTTGCTAAGTGTTGTTTTTTTTTTTTTTAAGGCCAGAAACTATGAAGATAAACAAAGTTGTATATAAAAGATTTAGTTAGAAAAGGTGTCATTTAAAACATGTACTATTATTAGATATTAGTCTTTTAAGAAGGTTTCAATAAAGTGGATGAAAAGTAGGTGCATTTGGTGTAACTCTTATTTTATTTAATTGCAGGACTTTATTGACCTGACATTATCGAAGACGCAACGGAAGACTCCAACGGTCATTCATAAACATTACCAAATTCATCGCATTAGACATTTTTACATGAGAAAAGTCAAATTTACTCAACAGAATTACCATGACAGGCTCTCACAGATTATAATGGATTTCCCCAAATTGGATGTAAGTGACTTTAGAGGCCACGGATGCTTATGTAAATGTTAGCTTTTAACCAGTTTGGTAAACTCACCTGATAGATCATGAAAGAAACAGAAAATAATTGAGTTGTCTAAGTTTACTCAGTGAGTGAGTGGCAAAGTTGGGAACAGAACACGGTTTGTTGTTTTTAAACTTCTCAATAATTTTACTTTCTGCCAACCAAACCCCATCTAAGTGGGCCCAAAGCTATTTCCAGGCTGTGAAACTTCGAGGTTGGCAGGGTCCATCCCAGGGTCTCTGAAAGCTGTCACTGAATCTGGAAGCCCAGAGTTCTAGCAGCTCACCAGCTGGTCTGGTTTCTCTCCTGCCTGTTTCCAAGGCTCCTTCCTGGCCTCAAGTTGGGTCCATGCCCTGAGGTCTACCACTGTGATCTTGTTGGTTCATCAGCCAGTGATGGTCAGTTCAGCTCTGGCTTTTTTTCACTAGCGGTAAGAAATTGTTTGGGGGAACTGTGATTTTTCATTAAGTCACAAAAGTTGAACTCTTTCTTCATTCTTCTGCATAGTGCAGTTTGCCCATTTATTTAGTTGTAGAAAGGAAAAGCAACATTGCTTATGAAGTCCTCATGTAGGATCACATGGTAGCAAGGTTATGTGAGATGGTGTAAATTTGCCACTGTCCTAAAATAGTCTTTGTATTTAAAAAGATAATGATATAAAAAATGAAGTAAAATGATATTGATGATCCTAGTCAGTTTGACTCAGTAATTAGAGCATTGGCCTGCAGACTGAAGGGTCATAGGTTCGATTCCTGTCAAGGGCTTGTACCTTGGTTGCAAGCTCCATCCCAGGCCCTAGTCAGGGCACATAATAGGAAGGAACTAATCACTGTCTTTCTCACATCGATGTTTCTGTCTCTACTCTGCCCTTCTACTCTAAAAAAATCACTTTATCCTGTGGTGAGGATTAATGATGGTTTGTTTAAAAAAATACAGAAATCTTAAAGATAAAATTTAAAGGTTTCTGCTAGAGGAATGACATAAATGCTTTCGAATAAGTAATTATTTCTTGAAAAAGAGAGGCTTCCCCTTCTTCCCTCTCAAGTGTGCATCCTAACCTCTAAGGAACCCCACTAGACTTGCAGCCAGAGGAGCAATGGGCAGTGGCAGCTTGTCCCGAGCTAACCCCCTGAACCCCCTTTTCTCTGATTTCTCAGCCAAAGAAGCCCCTCCTAGGTGCTCTCCTATCCTAAGTCTTTCCTTGTTTTACTGTCCCCAGCTTTAAAAAAGTGCTCTCAAAATTGAAAAACAGACACAAGGATGAGATTATTTTAAGTTAATTTGATATTAGGAAATACCTGGTTTGAATGAACAAAATACTTTGGTCTAAATAGTACCAGATTTCTGTGGTTGTTTGCAAGAAGTTTTATCTTCTGTGGCATCCCTTTTTATACATTAGAGGTTCAAATTTATGAACATTGTATTTGTGTGTGTGTGTGTGTGTGTGTGTGTGTGTGTGTTTAAAACTAGAGTTAGTTATCTGAGAACAGTTTCAGGGTAGAGGGTTAGTGCAAATTACCATTCATTGAATGATTGCTGGCTCTCGGATACTGTTCTAGATACTAGGAATACAGCCATAATAAAAGAAGTCCCCAACTTCATCTAGTGTGGGGAAAGACAGTAAATGTGAAAATACAGGGTGTGTCAGATAAATAAGGAGAGTAGGGAGTGCCCCAGCAGGGAGGTTGTAAGGGACCTGAAGGAAGTGAGGTGGTTAGCTGTCTGACTCCTGGGGAAAGCAAGTGCCAAGGCCCTGAGGTTCAGAGTGTGGTGTCTTCCAGGAAGAGGTGGAGGAGAATACTGGGAGGTGGGTCAGAGAGGTAATAGTAGGGCGAGGGTAGAATTTGAATTCTGTTAAGAAGGGAAGCCTTGCTGAAACCGGTTTGGCTCAGTGGAAGAGCTTCAGTCTGCGGACTGAAAAGTCCCAGGTTCGATTCCGGTCAGGGGCATGCACATTGGTTGTGGGCACATCCCCAGTGGGGGATGTGCAGGAGGCAGCTGGTCAATGTTTCTCAATCAATAAAATATATTAAAAATATTTTTTTTTTTTTAAAAAAAAGAAGGGAAGCCTTTGGAGCTGAGCCTGGGACTGGCCATGTTCTGGCTCAGCTCTTAGAGGATGACTGGCCTTTGCAGGTGGGAGGCCGCTCAGGTCAGCGCAGTGACTTAGAGGACGTGGTGGTGAAGGAGTTGAGAAGTGGTTGGCTTCAGGGTATCCTTCGAAGGAAGAGCTAATGGATTTGCTCATGGAGTTGGTGTGAGCCATAGCACCTTGGACACTGGAGTTGCCCTTGGACAGGAGGGACACTGGTTAGAGGAGGTGGAGAACAGCTTGTATGTGTTAACTGAGGTATGGGTAAGATGTTCAAGTAGAAATGCCGAGCAGTCTGAAGCTCAGGAGCGGTCTGGCCTGGAGATTGCCAGATATGACTTGTGAAAATGTCGATGTGTGAGAACCTATGGAAGGTCACCTAGGAGATGAGTGTGAGAAGAGTGCTTTGCGGAGTGTGAGTGGCTAGCATAGGGGAGGGAGAAGTAGCCAATGAGAGAGAAGATCCTGGAGACTAGATGAATAAACGCATCAGGAAGTGTGGGAAAGGGTTTGGTGAGATAAAGGAGAACTGGATATGACTGGTGGTGGTGAGGTGTTTTGACGGCCTGGTAGAGACAGTCCTGACTAGTTTGGGTTGTGGGAATGGGGAGAAAGAAAAGACTCGCTACCTCTCTTCTTAACATTTGCCAAGAAAGGGAGCAAAGGAAAGGAAAGATTTGGGTGGGGGAGGGGAGGGCAAGGGAGTTTTAAAACTTTAAATTTTGGAGGAGAAATAATATGTCTACAGGCTGAAGGGAATGGCCAGGTGGAGAGGGAATGTTATCTGGAGCTCAGTTCTTGAATAGTAAGGGGCAGGAGAAGTAGAGGCTGCGATTTTCTCCACAAGGGTGAAGGCACTCTCCTGATGCCCACGTCTATATTTTCCAGGAAGGAAACAGATGCCAAACTGGAAATCCCTGTAAGAAAGATCTAGAAGGGCCCTGCACTCTCTGTCACTACAACAGGGCTTAGAGCATTTCACCCAAAGGGTGTAATCAACTGCCGTGGCCATGGTCACAGTGCAGCCAACATTCTTCTAGGGCACATGTGTCAAACACAAGGCCCGCGGGCCAAATCCGTCCCTCCAGGCCTTGCAATGTGGCCCGCACCGCGCTGTCATCACTGCACTCCGCTGCGTTTCCATCACAATGACAGTTTATGACTGTTCAGTAAACCATTCGGCCCGTGATTTAGGCTGGATTTTAGATTTTGGCCCCTTCTCTGATTGAATTCGACACCCCTATTCTAGGGGCACAGGCCAAAACACTACCTTGAAGACACTGCATTGCCCAATTCTTCTCTAGAACAGGGGTCTGTGCCGATTGAGGGTGTCTGACTTCAAATTTGGCTGCACCCTCTCCTCCTCTGTCTATGGGCCCCAGGAGAGTGCCTCTGGGTCCCCAAACACCTTGCTGCTCAGTCCCATCTTGCCCTTCCTGGGTAACAACAATAATGGATGGACACTTCAATCACAGATGAAAAGCTCTAAAGCTCCACTTGCAAGGGCTGTAAATCTTCTATTCATTCCTAAGTGACTGATGAGATGGGTTCTTCACACAGCAGGGTGCTCCGGGAATCTGTGTGATAACAGTAGTCTATACATTTGTTTTCTCATGCCAATGGTTTACAAGCTCCATGATTTAGAGTAGAATTCAATATATTTAATATAATAAACCACTGAAATTGGGAGTAATGATTTGCAAATGAATAGGAAAGGAACTTTTCTGAATATTAAGAGGGAAAATAATAGAGCCATTGAAGAGTCTCTTTGAAAAACAACAATATACAATACTTGTAAATTATATAATTGTCTAACCACTGTGCTGTACACTTGAAACTAATATAAACCAATATTGAATATCAATTGAAGTTGAAAAATAAAATAATTGCAAAAAATGAAAAGAAAAAAAAAGTAAGGGGCAGGGTCCAGTGCATGGATGGACCAGGCCTTGGTTGGATCCAAGGACAGTTGTACAGGAGTAGGATGAAGGTCTGTGGATGGGCAGAGGTGACTGCCAGACTTACTTCCTTGTAACTTCTGCTCTCTCAGAGAACAAGACAGATGTTAACCAGGAGAGAGATCTGGGGAGAGATGCTATGGGTGTGGGAAGAGAGGGAAAGGTACGGTGTATTTTCCTAGGAAATTATTCTTCAAGTATTATGTACAATAGGATTGAGAAACTTATTCCAAACTGCTTTGCTTTTTTTGTTACAGGATATCCATCCATTTTATGCTGATTTGATGAACATTCTCTATGATAAAGATCATTACAAGTTGGCTCTGGGACAAATAAATATTGCCAAGAATTTAGTGGACAAGTAAGGCATTTTCCTAATATATTATCTTTTAAATTGTCAAAAGTGAAAATAACTTATGTGTTTCTTTTTATTTCTTTAAGTGTTGCTAAGGATTATGTGCGGCTTATGAAATATGGAGACTCCCTCTACCGTTGCAAGCAGCTGAAGCGTGCTGCCCTGGGGCGAATGTGTACTATTATCAAAAGACAGAAACAGAGTCTGGAGTATTTGGAACAAGGTACTTGTCATATGTAAGCAAAAATAGTTTTGAGTGCATTCTAATAAGGTACTGATCCTTGTCAAAAACTTATTTTTGAAATGTTTTATTTTTATTTTAGAGATGACAGGGTCAAATTATTTTTCCTAGTCTATACTGTAAGAAATTCAGACAGGCCAGTTATTGAAAAAGTAACTAGCACTTACAATTCTTACAAGTTAATAGCACTTTTAAGAAAACTTACAGTTCTCTGCGAAAACCTGTTTGGCTCAGTGGATAGAGCATCGGCCTGTGAACTGAAAGGTCTCAGGTTCGATTCCGGTCAAGGGCATGTACCTTGGTTGCGGGCACATCCCCGGTAGGGGGTGTGCAGGAGGCAGCTGGTCCATGATTCTCTCTCATCGATGTTTCTAGCTATCCCTTTCCCTTCCTCTCTGTAAAAAAGCAATAAAATATATATTTTTTAAAAAAAGAAAACTTAACATTTCTCATATTTAGTAGATAAGACATATATTATAAATCATGGGAAATACCAAAATATTTAGGAAAATAAAATGATTTCTAGTTTGTTTTTGTTTGTTTATATAGCAAAGGTGGAGATTTATTGAAGAACAAGTACAGACTTCCACATGGGGAAGTGGAAAGAATCTTACAGCACAGACTCCCATATGGGGTGGAGGGGGAAGAGTCCCACAGAATGGACTCCCAGGACTCCCACGTGGAGAGGGGGAATAGAGTCCCCTGATTCCTAGTTTTATGTATTATTTACGTTTTCTTTTTTTTTTTAAATGCTTTTCTTTGTAACATGATAGCATCAAACTGCTACTTGTTTTGTTAACTGATAGTTTCATGTACTAGGACTGTGGTCGGCAAACTGCGGCTCTTTGGCCCCTTGAGTGTGTCTCTTCCACAAAATACTACGGCCTAGGCGAGTCTATTTTGAAGAAGTGGCATTAGAAGAAGTTTAAGTTTAAAAAATTTGGCTCTCAAAAGAAATTTCAATCATTGTACTTTTGATATTTGGCTCTGTTGACTAATGAGTTTGCCGACCACTGTACTAGGACAACATCTGAATTAGCATGGTATTGTTTTTATTGAGACAGTTCTTTCCTTTGTTACATTCATATAATTTTCATTACAAATTTTTTTTAACTCAGGTGGTTTTGTTCCCCCTCTCTCAGCATCTAGCAAATAATTTGCGAAAAGATTGCAGTACTTGGGTGCTTTGACAGGGCTTCCAGTAATTGCTTTAACCTTCAGGGTAGCTTAGTGGAGTCACTGGTGCTATGAGCACTACAAGCCAGGCTCCCATGTAGTAGTCATTACATGGAAGCAACCCTCTGTCTAGCCAGAAATGATGATTCGCATGCTCACTTCAAAAGCGCTTTTCCAAATATTTTTCAGTTAAGAGTCACCTGGATGCTTAGACGTTTTTTTGGCCTCACCTTGGACCTGTTAGATAGGAATACCAAGCTGGTACAGCCTAGGAATGGGATTCTTAGTGCAGGCAGATTTGGGAAATACTATCCTTTATATCATGGTGCCTCTGTAGATGGTCCTTTTTTCATTCATTTGTATTTTCTTGTTTTGTTAATCTCCACCTGAGGATATTTTCCCATTGGTTTGTAGAGAGAGTGGAAAGGAGAAGGAGAGAGAGAGAGAAACATTGCTATGAGAGACACACATTGGTCACCTAGTACAAGAGCACCAACTAGGGCCAGGGATCAATCCTGCAACCTAGGTACGTGCCCTTGACCAGAATCAAACCCAGGACCCTTCAGTCCACTGGCTGACACTCCACTGAGCCAAACTGGCTAGGGCTCCTTTGTTTTTTCTTCACATAAATGTTGGAGTGATGTTAATATATCACAATATTGGAGTATAAGTGGAATAGATCTTAAACTGAGTCTCTTAATTTTTCTTGTGAAATTAAGCACATTTAATTTGAACTTCACACAGTGCGTCAGCACCTTTCCCGTCTGCCAACTATTGACCCGAACACAAGGACCCTGCTTCTATGTGGGTACCCGAATGTTGGCAAGTCCAGCTTCATCAATAAGGTTGGTTTGTCTCTGATAATTACCCAGGTGACTGAGGACCTGAGGCCAACGGGCTGCCATGTTCTGACTGTGTGGGATGGAGGATAGCTAGTTAGTCCTTTAGTTGGTATTGCCCTGGGTTTAAAACACTGTGTCCTTGAAGGGAGAATTGAGTTTGTCTGATCCTAGATTTATATTGTTGTTACAGAAACCATTTTTTTATTCTTGTGTGCTTCCTACAAATTTTTAAGAGGTTTGAGATGTTAAAGTATATTTTTGTTAACACACAAGAGCTCTCTCAGGACATGTTGTCTTGGCATGTTCTGGGAACAGTGGTGCCAGTGGGCCTGCTGTTCACTGTGGCAGGCTGCGCTTGCTGAAAGGGACTTCCGGTCTCTGAAAGTATTTCTCAGGTACTGTCTCCTTAGTTGCTATGTCAACTTTCACATAAACTATTGGGTCCATGTATTGGGGAGTACTGAGTCATTCTTATCTGAGTGAGTTTATTATTGGAGGCTCAAGGGCACTATTTATATAAGTAACTTGGTGCTTCAGGGTAATTTACCTGACTTTGAGGGACCTGAGCAGAGCAGAAACAGCTTTTAAAATGTCATTTCATAAGCAGCAACTGCTAACGTACCAATAAATAGTTGTTACATTCATATACATCCATGTGACTATTTGTTTCGTAAAACACCTTTGCCTTTAAGATTTATAGATTTTGTCCACAAGTTGTACTGACATAGTGACAAGCCAATTCTCTGCAGTGTCCTAGTTATGTTTCCAACACTTGAAGGCCAGTTCTGTGGGACAAAGACGGGACCACTTAAATAATCGAAATTAAACAATAACCCTTACAATTTTAGTTCAGTTGGTTGGAGCATTGTCTTGTACAATAAAAGGTGGTGGGTTTGATTCTTCAACCAGGTTGAGGGTTCCCTCCCCAGTTGGGATGAGTGCTAGAGGCAGCTGATTGATGTTTCTTTTCTCCCCCCCCCCCACCCCCCCATTCTGAGATCTATTAAAAATAGATCTTTTTAATTAAATAATAAAATTAGTTTCTCAGTTGTACTTGACCACATTTCAAGAGTTCATGGGCAGTGTGTGGCTAGCAGGGCAGTGTGTGGCTAGCAGGCCCCGTGTGGCCATTGCACATGTAGAATGTTTTCTTCATTAAAGCAAGTTGTTCTGGGCAAGGCAGGGGCCGAGGCAGGCAAGGGAAAACTGGGTGTCCTCCTCTGACTGGGCCTGCCTCGCCTCCCTCGCGTCCCTCATCCCTGATTCAGACTCTTCTCTGCTATGGGCGGTGTTGAGGAAGTGGAGACCATCACCTATCGAAGCACAGTAGCGCTTAGCAGTTAATCATGGAAGTCTCACTTGAGCTTTTTTCCTCCTACCATAACAGCCTTGATAACATATCTGGGGTACTTTTACACTGTGTGAGAGGAAATAAAGTGTAGGACACTGTGATTGGTTTCAGGTGACAAGAGCAGATGTGGATGTCCAGCCTTATGCATTTACCACCAAATCTCTGTTTGTTGGACACATGGATTATAAGTATCTGCGCTGGCAGGTAAGAGCTCTTATCTTTAAACAGAACAAATGTCCTGTTTTGTTAATGGAATGATTTTGACCCATACAGCACAGGGGGTCAAAGTGTCTTATTTAGTGCACTTTTTAGAGGTGGGGAGAATGAGGAGGTGGGAAGTAGACTCTTAGGGTTGCCAGGAGTGCCCTCATTTCTCTACGAGGAGGCTTCTGCATTATTTTCACAATGGTGCTGCTGAGAAAGTCTCCTTGTCACTGTTTATGACCCTGTTATTAGTAATGACATTTACTAATTTAAAAGCATAAAGCCGTGTATTTCCACAGTTGAATTTATCAATGATGAAGTAGTTTCTCACACGTGGGCATGTTAGCCAGTTATTCCAGTTCTGTTTTATGATGTCACTAATAGCAGAGAGGCATTCTCTCAAGGTCATTGCTAGTTCCTAAATGAGCTAGGCAGGTCCCTCCATTCCCCGTTTTCCCCTTACTGCTTTATTTTATCATGGTCAGCTGGGAGACCTACGTTTTATTAATTAGTGTTGTCAGTGACCTGTAGGATATGCTGGCCAGCAGGTTTGTGAGCAGTGTGCTTTGGAGTGACGAGTTTGACCGTTAGGTTGTAGATACCCCGGGGATTTTGGACCACCCCTTGGAGGATCGGAACACAATTGAAATGCAGGCCATCACGGCCCTGGCCCATCTGCGTGCCGCGGTGCTGTACGTGATGGACCTGTCTGAGCAGTGTGGGCACGGGCTGCAGGCGCAGCTGGAGCTGTTCCAGAACATCAGGCCTCTCTTTGTCAACAAGGTGAGTGGGTATTTGGATATTTTCTAGTTTGCATGATCAATAAGAGAACACAACAGAAAATACAATCTCCAAAGAGATGTTTATCCTGGAATTACCCAATTTAGGTTGGAGAGGTTTTTCACATTTAACTAGATCACTCTAATTTGTACTCTGTAGATGCACTTAAAACCTTAAGACAATAACCTAGTTCCCATTCTTCTTGGGTATTCTCAGGTAATGAAAAGTATTTCAGTAAAGCTCATGCATCCATAAAGTGCTACAAACTTGATCAATAAAAAACACTCTAGATTTGATTTATGTTCATCATAAACAGTTAAGAGGTAAGAACATCTTCTAAACCCAGCTATTTTTCAAAAGGTTTGGAAGCAGAGTCCAATGTGACCTTAAAAATTAGAATGTATCATCTCTAGCATCTTAGGTAGGCAGTTATATCTGGCTCACTGAAGTCTGAGATGTTATTTTGATGTCAGTTGTTCACATTCATACAGCTAAATTTAAATTTCATGGAGACTTCCTGAACCTTGTATTTTCTGCAGTGCCTCCGAAGGATTCTTTGAGGTCCATAGCAGGTTCACTAACTCGGTCTTCAGTAGCCTGATTCAATAACAGTAAATGCACACCTAACTCAGTTTTTGTTCTTTCCTGCCAATCAGGGTTGCCAGATTTAGAAAATATAAATATGTGATACCAATCAAAATTGAATTTTAAGTAAATAACAAATAACTTTTTCAGTATAAATATGTCCCAAATATTGCATGGGACATATGCATTCAAAAAAAAAAAAAAAAAAAATCAGCCCTGGCCGGTGGGATCAGTGGTTAAAGCATCGACCCATGCATCGAAAGGTCATGGACTCAATTTCTGGTCATGGGCACATATCTGGGTTGCAGGTTTGATCCCCAGCCCCTGTAGGGGTGTGTATTTGAGGCAACCCATTGATGTGTCTCTTACATCCATGTTTCTCTTTCCCAATCCCTCTCTCCCCGCCTCTAAAAATCAATGGAAAAAATATCCTCAGGTGAGGACTAACAAAAAAAATTTCAGCCGAAACCGGTTTAGCTCAGTGGTAGAGCGTCGGTCTGCGGACTCCAGTCAAGGGCATGTACATTGATTGCGGGCACATCCCCGGTAGGGGGTGTGCAAGAGGCAGCTGGTCAATGTTTCGCTCTCATTGACGTTTCTAGCTCTCTATCACTCTCTCCTCCTCTCTGTAAAAAATCAATAAAATATATATATTTTTTAAAAATTTCATTGTTTACCTGAAATTCAAATTTAACTGGGCATTCTGTATTTTCATTTAGTGACCCTATCAGTCAGTCTCCTACAAAGTTGCCATGTATTTCTGATAGCCCCAGTTTGTCAGACACATCTACTTAGCAGTGGACACTAGTATAGCTTCGGCAAGGATCCCCATCACTAATGTTCTAAGTCTCCTGGAGGAAGGGACACTCTCATTAGGTGAGTGTGACTGAAGGTGCAGGAGGAGCTGAGATGCTGAAACCTCCACTGCAGTTCCAGAAATAAGGAGAGCAGTTCTTCATGGGTGGGAACCCAGGGGTTTCACATCTTCCCTGTACTTATTAGCCTGAGAGGAAGTAGGTGAGTGTGATGACCAGTACCACATTGATGACCTACACGGATGATATTCTTGAAATAACCCTGGTTAGTTTAGACTAAAAAAGATAATTAGGCTTTTTCCCAGAAATACCTCTATTTCGACAGAGAAAATAGTGCTTTGAGATGCCAAATAGTGTTGTGAAAGTCACCAAACTGGAAAGCAGACCTGGGGGTACTGTTTTGTTTTCATGAGCTCCACATTTATGTTTACAGCACATTTATGGATAAAAATTCAACCAATAATAGTTAAGAAACATGTGCATCCAGTAAAAGTTTTTTTTTTTTAACCTGTTAGCTACATTTAAGTGTGAATAAAGGAAATGATCACTAAAAATAAAGTAGTTAAACATTTGTACAAAATATTTTGAGACATTCATTATGATTCTAATAATATTAAACTTGTATATTATATCAGTTTTAATTTAATTATTTAATCATTCTTGTGGAATAAAGGTTTATTAAAATGTTATAGAAATCCTATAGGTAAATATTTGTAAAGCTGCTGTTGCCATTGTACCAGTATTAAAAATGCATTCTACCTTGCATCATTTATAATTTTTATGACAGATTGTATATTGAACCCATTTGAGAATCCTATAAATGTTATGGCTTCAATAAACTGTTGCTGAGCATATGCTCCCAATGTTTATTTTGAGACTAAATGACAACCAGAGAATATAAACTACCAAAATGCATCTGGTTATGTTTTTAAATAAAGAACAAATAAATCCAAACAAGGTGAGTGTGATGACCAGTACCACATTGATGACCTGCAGTATGAAGGTGGTAATCACCTTGTTATTTGTCTTCCCACTCTAGCCTCTTATAGTTGTAGCAAACAAATGTGATGTAAAGAGAATAGCTGAGCTTCCAGAAGATGACCAGGTAAGTCACCCTTATGCTTTTAATATTTCTTACCAATTCTAAATCTCATTTTAGAGTGCCAGAGTTTAGGAAGAATTATAGCAATGCTGGTCTGGTTTTTGATTTTACAGTTGAGATAGTATCCTAGGTAGTTAAGTCAACATGACATTATAAAAACCTCTTAGTGACAATGAAACCTAAATTTCTGGGGCTCAAGGCTATTTTTAGTAAAAATATTTAACTGATGGCTGCTCTGTTAGAGGCTGTGGAAGCATCCATGTGTACGATCAGTCGGCACATTTAACCTCTGGAAGTTGTGCTTACATAGGAAGGGACTGTCCTACACCAGGGCCTTAAAGGAAATGTAGCTCAGGCCTCGGCAGCCGGTGCGCAGGAGCAACACTCGCCGAGTACGTTTCTAGGTAGCAGGGTTTCATAGTGTTACCGATGTGCCTGCTGCGTGGAGTCTGATGAAGTGAGTTTGGAAACGGAGTGAATAAAGGAAAACGAGCGTCTGACATTGTAGGTCCAGAATCTGTCGCATCTGCTGAAGTTTTCCAAAAGACAGGATGTGAGCCTCAGTTTGTAAACTGAACCCTGCAGCCCTCTTTAGTAGCATCTTTCAGGACAGGCGCTGTGAGAAGCTTTGCACTAGTACAGTGGTTCTCAGGTTGTGAGCGTGACCATTAGCCAATGTTACCTTCCTGTGATAATATGTTCTTTTTTTCTTTTTTTTTTAATATATTTTATTGATTTTGTACAGAGAGGAAGGGAGAGAGATAGAGAGTTAGAAACATCTATGAGAGAGAGTCATCGATCAGCTGCCTCTTGCACACCCCCTACTGAGGATGTGCCCGCAACCAAGGTACATGCCCTTGACCGGAATCGAACCCAGGACCTTTCAGTCCCCAAGCCGACGCTCTATCCATTGAGCCAAACCGGTTTTGGTGTGATAATATGTTCTGAATGCAGGGCCTCTGAAATCAGAAACGGGGCACCCAGCAGGCTTGGGCTTGAGCAGCCCCCTGGTGATGGGTGCACACTCGAGGTTTGGGAGCTACTTCCGTAGAACGATGACTGCAGCTGGCCACATGTCCTGGAGCATGCTCCATGGAGTGTGTCTCTAGGAAAAAGGGCATGCTGCTCTCTTCCCAGTGTCCTTTGTGTCATGTGGACATTTAATGCTTGGTGAGAATTAGTGTTTTTCAAACAGTTTTCTTGGGGAACTGTGGTGTGTTCTTTAAATTACTAATTATACTAGTACTAGTATAAACACGCCACCAGATAATTCACATATTTTTTTTTTAAATCAATCTTTATTGTTCATATTATTACAAAGATTCCTCATTTCTTCCCCCCTCCACCAGGTTCCCACCCCACCCTCCGCCCCCTCCCCACCCCCCATTGTCCTCATCCATAGGTGCACAGTTTATGTTCAGTCTCTTCCTCCCTCCCTCCCCCCAGCCCCCCCAGAATACTCAGTCCACTCCCCTCCCATATCGCTGACTCTACTACAATGAACCACTATTATTGTTCATCAGGTTTTTCAATCTCTCTTTCTCTCTCTTTTTTTTTTAATTAATAAACTTTTACACTCTAAGAATAAATTTTAAAATCTAATAATTTTAAACCTTTTTTTTTTTTTACTGCCCTGGGAGTTGAGAGCAAACTTGTTTACATGTAAACTTGCCCTTAGGCTATCAAAAGGTATAGTCATTCAAGTGTAAATGGACACATTGTTTAAACATAGCTGCTGGTTGGAATTGGATTACCTGTTCTGGGTGGGAAGGGCTTGTCATTCCCTTTCTCCATTAAAATTAAGGTGTTAGCTTTAAAACCTCTTTTTTGACAAGAGACCTTAAACTTTCAGAACTTTAAACCTTTCAGATAGCAAATCAGTTACTTGGCATTTTCTCAAATCAATAATATCTCCACATGCCCAAGGATATACCCTACACAAAAGACATTTCCAAATAGATCAACCAACCTCATCCAGGCCCCACACAAGGCACTCACGGATCAACACCCCAGCGCTATACTGACTCAACACACCCAGATCTAAGCCTTCATCACTTGATTCAGCAGATCCTCAAGTTCCCCCAAAAGTTTCCAGCCATGTCTGCGAGGCAGCCTTGGGGCGGGGGCAGGCAAGGAGCTGGCTGCTCCGGGCCTGGCCTCTGTTGCTCTGGTCCGTTCCACAACCAGCTACTCCGGGTCTGGCCACTGCTGCTCCCTACCTGGCTGCTCCGGGCTTGGCTGCTGCTGCTCAGGGCCTGGCCGCACCCAACCTGGCTGCTCTGGACCCGGTTGCTCCGGGCCCGGCCGCTTCCAGCTTGACAGCTGCTGCTCCAGGCCTGGCTGCTTCCGACCTGGCTGCTCTGGGCCCGGCTGCTCCGGGCCTGGCCGCTCCGAGCCTTGCAGCTCTCACGTATTTTTTAAAGGACCCATGTACCTATCAGGTTTTCTGACTAAAAGCTCTGAAGGGTGGAGAAGTAGAGAAAGTTGGGGACACCAGGAAGGTTGGGAGTAAACCTTACACCAGATGCTCAGGCACTGATGTTACACATGCTTGAGTTCAGCCTCACCACCTAGCAGCCCTGACGTGTGAGGCCACCTCTCAGTGACACCATTGGTTCTACACCAGTGATGTGGTTGGGAAGACTTAGTGAAATCGGGAAGTTGGTGACACGGGCACTATTGCAATGCTGTCTGGATAACACTATCTTGTGGCCTGGACTCATCGGTGCTCTGACTCATCAGCAACAGTGTAGGTTACTGTGTGATGGATGCTATGTCCACATGCTTAGGCAGATGCAGTGTCTTACTCAGGTCACACGCTAGTCAGTAGTGAGGTTGGCTCTCTGACCCTGGCATTCCCCAGGACACTGCTCTTTCAGTAGGGAATCAGATCTTATTCACACGAAGCTAAGGATCACTGGACTGGTTGACTGTCTCTGGATGAAATTGCGTTAGGGAGAAGGGCACACAAATGAGGTCCTTTCACTTAGAGTCTTAGTGGCTTATAAGGAGCTAGGTGCATAAACATTTTTGTGTTTTCTAAGACATTCTCTTTGGCTGTGGAGGTTAAATATTTTTACTAAAAATAGCTTTGAGCCCCAGCTGGGTGGCTCGGTTGGTTGGGGTGCCACCCTGTACACCAAAAAAGGTTGCAGGTTAGATTTCCAGTCAGCATATATCTAGGTGCTTATGGGAGACAACCAGTCAATGTTTACCTCTATCTTATCTCTCCCTTCCTCTCTCTCTAGAATATAAATATATCCTCTGGTGAGTATTAAAAAAAAAAAAAAAATTAAATATTCTAAAAAAAAAATCTTGATCTTTTTGATCTTGCCAAGTTTCTTTTTGGAAGGTAAAGTCTCAGAATATTCTAGAAAGCCTCTGGTTTGCTTGCTATAGTCTGGTTTGATCCTCCTAGTAATTTGTATTTTCTTAATTACAGAATAATGTAGGGAAAAATAATTAACTTTTCGGGGGATGTCCTTCAAAAGAGAACAAACCACAGGTGCTGTGCTAAGCAGCACCCAGTTGAAGAACAGTAAGATTTGTTCATGGGGACTTGGAAATAACACGTCTCTTGTTTTTCCTTTATATTCTCAGAAAATATTTATAGATTTGCAGGCTGAAGGATTTCCTGTGATAGAGACCAGCACCCTGACGGAGGAAGGGGTGATCAAAGTGAAAACAGAGGTCAGTGCTTCTTCGCAGGCAGGGGTCGAGCGCTTTACTGTCTTTCTCTTGTTTGAGTAAAGTCAGTCGTGGGGAAAGAGTCTTCTCTCCGGATGAGTGCTTGTGGTGGCTTAGGCAGAAGGCATCAATGCAGGCGCCATGGCTGAAGCCGTGGTCCCGTGAGTGTGTGTGTGTGTGTGTGTGTGTGTCCCCAACGAAAGGGGGGCTTTGGGACATGCTTTCACTCCCAGTTCCAGTATTTTTAACTTTGTCCACTGCCTGCTGTTTTTCTCAGCCTGCCGATATTTCAATGGGAGCTGGACTGAAAAGTACTTCCATGGAATCTGTTCAGAAGTAGAAGGAAAAAATAAAAGTGGGAACACCTTAAGGAAGCACTTCCTGTTAGATTTCACATGATTCTAGCATTCTTATTTTTGTTATTTTTACCTGAAATGAAAAGGGCAATTGTAATACTGTTGATTTTATTCGGGCTCAATTGCTCTAGTTAGAGTACAGAGGGGGGATGTGGATCAAGTTAGGGAGCTGTCTGATAGTGGAAGAAGGGCCCAGAAAGGGCTGTGGGGTTACTCGGCGCCAGCCGTGTGGTGGTGCTGCCTCCGGGTTCTGCCCCAGATTGGGCCTGGTTTGGAAAGGGAGAAAGAGGAGCCTCCATCCTGGAGAGTAGGGTCCACTCCAGGGAAGGTACTGGACCTTGATGTGGTCCTGGGGACTTAGCCACCAGATGTCACTACTGAGCAGAAGTGCTCAGCCAGTTCCAAACCTTGGAACATACATAGTCCCCGGTTGCTGGTTCCTCCCTGGAGGCTGCTGCAGGATGCTTTGTAACTTTTGTGCCTTGTTTTCACACTTTCTTAGGCTTGTGACAGGCTCTTGGCTCATCGAGTTGAAACCAAAATGAAAGGAAATAAAGTCAACGAGGTGCTGAACAGGTTGCATTTGGCTATACCAAACAAAAGAGATGATAAGGTAAGGTTGCTCTTCCAGAGACACCTTGAGATGGAATTATGGTGATAGTGACACTGGACATGCCATGTGCTTCATCCAGGGGCCACAGATGCAGTTGCACATATCTGCATAAATGGATATCATGAGCAGGCATGAGTTCTTACTCAGGCTAAATCCTGCCACATATCTTGAAAAAGACAAAAAATGAGTGTGAGGTGTCAAATTAAAACCTGCTTCTCATTCCACCAGACCTATTAATGTTAACTCTGTCTTGTATATCTTTCCAGAAATATTTTTGGTATAAAAGCATTTTTAATTTAATTAAATTAATTAATTAATTAACTTCTTTTTAATCAGTCTTTATTGTTCATATTATTATCATACAAAGGTTCCTCATTTCTTCCCCCCTCCACCAGGTTCCCACCCCACCCTCCGCCCCCTCCCCATCCCCCATTGTCCTCATCCATAGGTGCACAGTTTATGTTCAGTCTCTTCCTCCCTCCCTTTCCCTGATAGTAAATCCCCTTTCAGATAGTAAATCAGTTACTTAGCATTTTCTCATATCAATAATACCTCCACATGCCCAATGATACACTTCACACAAAAGACATTTCCAAATAGGTCAACCAACCTCATCCAGGCCCCACCCAAGGCACTCACAGATCAACACCCCAGCGCTATACTGACTCAACACATCCAGATCTAAGCCTTCATCACTTGATTCAGCAGACCCTCAAGTTCCCCCAAAAGTTCCCAACCATGTCTGAGAGGCAGCCGTGGGGCAGGGGCAGGCGAGGAGCGAGCTGTTCCGGGCCTGGCCTCTGTTGCTCTGGTTCATTCCACAACCAGCTGCTCCAGGTTTGGTCACTGCCGCTCCCGACCTAGTTGCTCTGGACTTGGCTGCTGCTGCTCCGGGCCTGGCCGCACCCTCCGGGCCTGGCTGCTCCCAGCCTGGCAGATGCTGCTCCAGGCCTGGCCGCACTCGACCAGCATTTTTAATTTTAAACGCAAATTTTGTGTTCTTTTAAGTTTTTCATTGATTGCTAGTAGACAGTACTCAGGTGCACATCTTTATATACAGTATTGTTGTTGTTTTTTTGTTTTGTTTTTTAAATATATTTTTATTGATTTTTTTATAGAGAGGAAGAGAGAGGGATAGAGAACTAGAAACATCAATGAGAGAGAATCATCAACCAGCTGCCTCTTGCACACCCCCTACTGGGGATGTGCCCGCAACCAAGATACATGCCCTTGACCGGAATTGAACCCGGGATCCTTCAGTCTGCAAGCCGACGCTCTATCCACTGAGCCAAACCGATTTCGGCACAGTATTGTTATTTTTTAATTTGCAATTCTATCTGTAGAGATTTTAAGGTATGGCATTGAAAATATCATTCTCCAAAATGCCTTATCCTATCTAATAAAGAGGGAATATGCTAATTGATCCTTATGTAGTCACAAAGATGGTGATGCCCACAGCCAGTAATCAGGGAATATGCTAATTGACTGTCCCACCCTCAAACATGGTGGCACCAACAGCCACAAGATGGCACCCAGTTGCCTCAGTTCCACCAGGGCCAGCCCGAGGCATGGGCAAGCCTTGGATGGTGGCTGTCTAGCCACCCAGGGCAGGCTCCAGGCTTGCGCTGCTGGCAGCAGCATAGGTGTGATGGGGCGTCTCCTTCCCCTGATCACCGGGTTGCCTCCCTTCCCTGAGGGCTCCAGTGCATGAATTTTCATGCACCAGACCTCTAGTATGTATATATAGTGCTGCTGGTTCCTTGTACCTTTTGTGTTGACATCTGTTAGTCTAGTAGATTGTAGCTGGTTAAAGATATGGCTGCTAACTGGCTGGACAGTGATGTGACTGTGTCATGTATATAAGTATCAAATTATGATGGTGTAAGCCTGAAATACACATAATCTTATATATTGACTTTATTACAATTTTTTAAGAGATGATTCCATTGTGATGTATTTCTTTAATGATTAGTGCAAGTGAGCATTTTTGATGGGCTTCTTGCCCTTTTAAGTTCTTCAGGTCATTTATATTTTACTCATTGATTTGTAATTTTTATATTAAGGTAATTAGACACACACACACACACACACACATATATATATATATATATATATATATATATTTTTTTTTTATTACAGTTAACATTCAGTATTATGTTGTATTAGTTTTGAGTGTACAGCTTAGTGGTAGACAGTTATATACTTCAAAAGGGTTTTGTACTATAAAATGTTTTTGTTTTTGTTTTTCTTTTTGTCATTGGAGGATTTTTTTTTAAATATATTTTTATTGATCTCAGAGATAGGAAAGGAGAGGAAGAGAAAGAAACATCAATGATAAAAAGAATTGATCGACTGCCTCCTGCATGCCCCCTACTGGGGATTGAGCCCACAACCCCAGGCATGTGCCCTGACCAGGAATCAAACCCTGACCTGGTTCATGGTTTGATGCTCAATGACTGAGCCACACATGTAGGCTGTAGGATTTCCTTTTTAATCTCAGAGAAAGTACACATATTTACGCTATTAGCATATAGTAATATTTTCTCTGTGGTTGCTTGGTTTGATGTCATGCATATCAATGCCCACCCATTCCAAAAATAGTTCTTATTCTATTCTTTGATTGTTTCATTTGTTTTTAATTTTACCTGTTTTGAATAAAAATCTTCACTTAGTTTTGAATTTATTTTGTTAGGAAGCAGGTGGAGGTTGTTATCCAGCTCTGCTTTTCAGTAGCTAGTCATTTATCTCATGTTTATATCTAAATTCCTTTTGTTTGTTATGTCCCTTATTTCTCATGTTGCTTCCTTTGTTCAAAATTGTTCTTGGTGACCTTAATGTTTATTTTTTCTAAATAAACTTTAGAATCAGCTCTTAGTCCTCCTGGCTAACATGTCCAAACTGGCTTTGCACCCTCCCCTCTTCCCGTGAATCATCTGTTGGTTTTTACTTGGCCTGGGTGTGGTTCTATATATTTATTGCAGATGGAGAATTTACTGTTAGTTTTTCATTTGTGTGTTTCTTTCCCGTTCAGCAAGGTGTTTTACATAAATATTTCTCATAATATCTTCTTAGGAGAGACCCCCTTTCATCCCAGAAGGAGTGGTGGCACGCAGGAAGAGAATGGAGATTGGGGAGGCTCAAAGGAAGAGGGTAGGTCACTGTCAGCCTTACTGGGTTATTTGTGAGGATGGGCAGAAAGACTTTGCAATGAGGGATGGAGACTTAGAGCATGAACAGGCCAATAGCACCATTACACTCTGAGAACATGGCTGTGAAACACTACACAGGTTCCCACCCTCGTGTATGTGGCACAACATCTGTCCTACTGCATGTAGGAGCTGAGTGCCAGGTGTGAAAAGGATTAGATTTGGTTGGAGAGGATGTTAATTCACAGGAACAAGGAAGAGGGGCTCGGCTGTTCTGGACCTGAAGGGTCAAATAGAACTGATCATAATTGTGTGTTTTTTAAAATTGCAGGAACGAGATATTGAACTGGAACTGGGAGATGATTATATTTTGGATCTTCAAAGTAAGGAACTGCATCTACTAGTTATTTTAAAATGCCAGTTTCGTGAAAAATGTGAAAGGGCTTTAATGAGCACAAATCTTCCAACATTTTAATTTCTTAAACATGAAAGGTTGTGTGCTGGCAAGACTCTGAGATTTCTTCCTTTCTGGCAGTTTTCTGTCATTTAACAATGAGAGATTAGTTTTGTAACTTTCATAGGTAAATGTGGAGGCAGGTTGATATTGTCATTTATCTGTTATTCATGCCTTCTTTCTTTGAGTATACCATACTTGTTTTATTTTTGTTTTCCTTTATGGTCACTTCATCCTAAGGTACTGATAGACCTTGGGAAATGTTTTGGGGTGAATCTTTAATAAGCAGCTGGCTTTGCTTACATAGTGTCGAATACAAACACTGTTGTCTTTAGAGAGGGGAATGACTTGCATAAGTTATAACTTATTTTGGGCACAAGGTAGTTGAAGATATTAAAAATTACTGTAAATATAATTTTTTTTTAACTCTAGAGTACTGGGACATAATGAATTCATCTGAAAAGTATGATAAGATCCCTGAGATCTGGGAAGGCCATAATGTAGCTGATTACATTGATCCTGACATCATGAAGGTTTGTATCATTTGTTAAATCACATTTTTATTCTTTTTTAATTCAACCACAAAAAAATACAAACACAACTTCGGGCTCACCTGCATCTGTTGCCATCATTCCTTCAACACTCACGAGCCTCCCTGTCTCCAGTCACCCACAGCTTGCTCCTACCAGTATCCTGGAGACTCCAGCGCTCTGCCCATTTACAGGGCCATTCATCCTCTTCCCACTGAGGCCTTTCCCTTCTCAGCTCCCGCTCTGCTTCCCTGGGCCCATCATAGCAGGTAGCCTGCCTTTGTGAAGAAGGTAGAGCCGCTGTGGATGTGAGTGCCCAGGTGCTTCTCGTTGGCAGGTACTTTTGGGTGTAGCACCCCTGGTTCTCAGGCCTGGTTCCTTGTTTCCAGAGTTTTGCTCCATCCCCAGTATATGCCTCCTGTTCCTTCCCCTCCCTGTTTGCTTTTTATTAGCACATGAGTGCCTGTGAATTTCTGTCACCTTTAAAAAGCCAAAGTCCTGTGTCCTCCTCTAGTTGCTAAGCTAACTTTTGTCAGTCAGGCTTTTTGAAAAATAAAGCTTTATAAATATTTGCTGTTTACATTTCCCCACTTTCTTCTCCTCAGTTCCTAAATGGTGCCCTTAATTTATACTTTCAGTCTTCAGATATCAAAGGGATGAACCCTAACATAAGCCCCCTTCATACTTTCTGTTTTTTCCACTTCTGAATAGTACTGTTCTCTGTTTGATGTTCATCCTTGCTGCCTTGGCTTTAACTAGTCTGTTTTCCCAACTCTTCCCCTTCATATTCTGTTATCCCTACTTACACACACAAGAAGTCATGTCTCTCTCCTCTAAACTTCCATTGTGCCTCTTACTTTCATTTCTCATTGCACAGCACCCATTGTCCTCAGTGTGGATTCTGGGTGGCCTGTGATTAGTCTAGCCATGCTGTTCTAGTCTCTGCTCACACACTGCCACATAAATAGCGATGTAGGCACATCTGACTGCTGGATTCCTGTGAGTTTACTTATTTGGCTATCATATACGTACATGCATTTAAAAATCTTAACAGTATAGCCTATGAGGTTGTGTTTGGGGATGACATTAGATGGATAAATGGACACTATAGTACAAGATCAGTACAGACTAATGATTTAAGTTCTTCAGGAATGGAGGTTTTTCTATGTGTCTGCTGAGAGAGAGGGGATTGAGGGAGGTGCTGTCTGTCCGAACATTTTTTTTTTTTAAATATATTTTATTGATTTTTTACAGAGAGGAATTGAGAGAGTTAGAGAGCTAGAAATGTCGATGAGAGAGAAACATCGACCAGCTGCCTCTTGCAAACCCCTCACCGGGGATGTGCCCGCAACCAACGTACATGCCCTTGACTGGAATCGAACCTGGGACCTTTCAGCCCGCAGACCGACGCTCTACCACTGAGCCAAACCGGTTTCGGCTGTCCGAACATTTTTAACCTTGCTATATACACTCATTGTTTTTTGTTTTTTGTTTTTTGTTTTTAAGATAGATATTTGAAGAGTTTACAAATTGAACTTCTGTATAAATTATTTTTAAAATAATGCATAATAAAAGAGAAAATCATGCTGAAAATTTGAATAAATCTTACAGCATAAATTGAGCAAGTTATTGACAATTTTAAGGGAACATTATATTTGTTTTGTTGTTATTAAAGATACAATGTTTTCAGGGATGTTTCAGTGAAACCCATTTAAAAGGATAGTCACCTAAATTAAAACTTCTTGCTGTCATAAGTACCATTGTTATAATTATTTCTCAATATATACCAAGAATTTAGAGGACTTGTTACTCTTACATGTTTATGCACTCCATGGGAAAAAAGGCAAAAGCAGGCTTGAAAAAAGGAAGGCAAAATGCATGACAATTTCCACTCATCAAACATTTCAAGCACAGGAACAGAGGAACTTGGACACTCATTGTTTTTAAAGGAGAAAAATATCTGGCACCAAGCAATTAATATGTTGCCAGCTCAGCATTTGTGCAGTCTTCATTTTCTTTCTGTAATCTTTGCTAATAGGTCAGCTCTGACGTGTATGAGGCTCACATGAGACAACCCTGGCATCCATTGCACACTGAAAGGCTTAAGGGAAACCTAATTCCCATAGAAAAGTTTCTATATTTAATTGAGTTTCTCAATGTTGATTTTGTTTATGACCCTTAAAGAAATTGGAAGAATTAGAAAAAGAAGAAGAGCTAAGAACAGCTGCTGGAGAGTATGACAGTGATTCAGAAAGTGAAGATGAAGAAATGGTGGAAATCCGACAGCTGGCAAAAGAAATCAGAGAAAAAAGGAAGTTGAAAATTCTGCAATCCAAAGAGAAGGACACACAGGGACCCAGAATGCCACGAACTGCTAAGAAGGCAAGTTTTGTGTCTCAAGGAGGTGTAACCCATTTCTTTCCATAATGGATTCTCTTATAGTCATTGCTAGATAAAACATTCTCACCTGTGTATAGTAATAACATGCTTTTTTGTTGTTGGTATGTATTGACTTTCAAGGTTAGTTGAGTCTTGATCTTTTATTTCTGATTATTACGCCTTTCTTGGTGATTTTCAAAGTTTATAAGATCATAATTTAGGACTCTAGCAATTTACAGAAACCTAACAAATCTGAAGGCGATTTATTGGCTCCTGTTAGTTCAAGCTCGAGTGGGTTAATGAGGTTGGGGTTCTTTCCAGCTCTCAGCTCCACCTCTGTAGGCATCTTTCTCTACTCAGTTCTTGTCAGGGTGGCAGGTGAGGTTAGATCTTGTGGGTCGTCTCCAAACCACAGGGCATGAGAGAGAAGGTGGGGGCAGCTCACCAAAGAAAGAGAAGATGTGTAGGGCAGTTAAAGTTTAGTGGGACAAGAAGGAAAAAGACAACAGTGCACTAACCATATGCATATTCCTGTGCTTGGCACTGTTTTCATGTTATAGCAAGTGAGTGGTTCTTGGCAGATGCAGACATCACTGTATCCACCACTGGTGCTGCAGGGACACTGGCTGGAGGTGTGTGTCACATGACCTGCCTTCATGATCTCATATGTGCCAGGGTTCTTTTCCCAGCCTTACAAAGGGTTCAGCATTCTGTAGAAAGGGGCTGCGAGATGATTAAAAAGGAGTCCAAAGACCAAAGATATTTTTGAAAGGCATTGGGGTCAGAGGAGCTTCAGCTAAAAGGAACTGAAAATTTTACCTTGTCTAAGGACCCCATGGTATTTCTTAAACACAATTTGTCCCAAGGCAAGGTGGAAATATACACTTCAAAGGGTAAGATATCAAAGGGTACAGAATCATTGTCAGTTTGGGGGATAGCCTACAGCTATTCAGGTGTTTGGCCAACAGGAGGCAGTAAAATGCCCTGAGCTGTCTATTCAGGTTTGGGGGAAGTGCCGTATAGCCGTTTCCAGCAGGTAAACTACATATGTGGGTCACCCTTGTTGAGCCCCCCAAGTCCCATCAATCTTTTGACATAACTCATAATTATTACATGCTGGAATTGGTTGTTGGCACATATGTACACAGGAATCCCCTGCAAAATTGTGCAGAATCTAGGGACAAAGTGTACACTGTTCCACACATGGCAAGTGCCCAGGAAATGTTAGTTTTATTTTCTCATGGGATTTAATGAGTTGTCCACAAACATCAGCATGAGCCTAAGTAAAAGATATAATTTATAAGAGGTGTATCACAGATCAGTATAAAGACACATTTTCTCCTCAATTCTTTTTTAACATTTCAACAAACTGATTTTGCTTAAAAGAAATATACTCTCCCCTCTTTTCAGGTTCAGCGGAAAGTCCTGGAGGATGAGATGCGCAGTCTTGGTGTTGACATGGATGATAATGACAACGTAAGTGTGCATAGATGGTCTCAGATACTTCATAGTTAGTTACAGCTTTGTGCTATAAAACCAGGGACCCAGAAACCTGTGGGATCACAGAGTTCACTAGATCTCCTTACTGTGGACATGTTTGATCCTTGTCCTGAACACTGTTTCAGATCTCTGCTGTTCTTGCTTTGGAGGGGGTCATGTCTACATAGGGAGCTAGGCTAACCTTTCACAGAGAGGCCCTGGAGTCTCAAAGGATGAGAACAATGAACTTCTTTGTGTCTTCTGTTAAATTTGTATCTCTTACTTGTTTTGACAGTATAATTCCTTACGACTTTCAAAAAAGAAAGAAAGAAAAGAAATTAGAACCTGCAGATTTTCTGTTGAGGAGTTTCACTTTTCTGACATATTGGTTGGAAGTGGTTGGTTGAGGACAGACACAGCATTATTCACACTATTGTCTATTCCCTTTTGGTTGGGCATTTGGCTCATCCTGTTGGTACAGGATGGTGTTGCCAGAGTCAGTTCTTGCTGTTCCCATTTGAGAAGAATTGAAGACTTGCCCATGCCATCCTCCGCAGTTAGAGCTCTTCCTTGTGGGTGGTAGAAGGTTTTCTGGATGTCATTCTGGTGTCAGGTGTGCGCAGCTACCCTAGAGGCTTTTTATTTACCTTTTTTCTTTTTATTGATGTTTTAGTATATTTGTGTATTCGTTTATAAAATTTGGAAAGTTCCTAAAACTAGAAAGAAAACAATTGTAGTTACAGTACACAAAAATGAACTAGGCTACCATGTGGTGCATGCCTTTTTATCCAGTGTTTATGCAGAGAACTTTAATCTTTCTGTTTCTTTCTTTGAAATCCGTTTATACCCACTTGCTACATTCTGCATCTACTTTTCATTGTGCAGCAGGCACTTTTAGGGCAGTGGTTCTCAGCCTTTCTAATGTCTCGACCCTTTAATACAGTTCCTAATGTTGTGGTGACCCCCAACCATAAAATTGTTTTCGTTGGCTACTTCATAACTGTAATTTTGCTACTGTTATGAATCATAATGTAAATATTTTTTCCGATGGTCTTAGGCTCTACAGCAGTGGTTGAGAACCGCTAACAGGGTTGCCTAAGACCATTGGAAAACGCAGATATTTACATTATGATTTATAACAGTAGCAAAATTACAGTTATGAAGTAGCCAACGAGAACAATTTTATGGTTGGGGGTCACCACAACATGAGGAACTGTATTAAAGGGTTGAGGTATTAGAAAGGTTGAGAACCACTGTTTTAGGGTAATAAGTAGTATCTCTTTTTTTAAGCCTTTTTCATTGCTTGCAATTTAAAAATTCATTTGCTATTGCCTCAAAGAATGAAAGCTGATGTGTAAAAAATGCATAATAAAAATAAAAACAATGCCGGGACCAGTTTGGCTCAATGGATAGAGCGTGGGCTTGGGGACTGAAGGGTCCCGGGTTCGATACCGGTCAAGGGCATGTACCTTGGTTGTGGGCACATCCCCAGTGGGGGGTGTGCAAGAGGCAGCTGATCGATGACGCTCTCTCATCAATGTTTCTAACTATCTCTCTCCCTTCCTCTCTGTACAAAATCAATAAAATATATATTAAAAAAATAAATAAATAAAAACAAGATTTGTGTCATTGAAAAATATAAATTGGAAATGTTAGAACAAAATATTGTTGTTTATCCTACATATTTTTTTTTTTTTTAACTGCAACTTTAATTTTGTTGACCAAAGTCTTTACCTGGTGCTTTGATTAGCTTCAGTTATCAAATAACCATGAGGTGCTATTGAGTCTCTCAGTGGGAGGGGAACTTAGGCTTCAAATCATCCAAAGCGTGTTCTGAAATCTTAAAGACTAGAGGGCATTTCAGGTACTTGTTAGAATTCCAGTGTTCCTGCTTAGTGAGCTATTCCAGGTTATATGCATCTTTGTATAAAAAAACTTTCCCATATTCTGGATTATTTTCTCCCAACACATTCCCAGAGGTGGAGTAATGAAATCATAGAGTGTTTGTTGAAGTTCCTTTCCAAAAGGGTTTGGCTGATTTCAGTTTTCATCAGCTAATGAGTGAGAACAACCTGCTCATGTGGAGTTATAGTTTAATGTGTATATGTAGCTCCTGACTTTTGGAGGCTTATTAAGCGTTGGACTTACTGTTTGCCTGCCTTTGGAGGGAACTGAGTTATCCTTAGATCCAGATAAGTGGGGAGTGTGAGCACCACACCCAGGCAAGCGGGAGCAGGGCTGACAACGGGGGGGGGGGGGGGGGGGGGGGGGGGGGGGGGGGGGGGGGGGGGGGGGGGGGGGGGGGGGGGGGGGGGGGGGGGGGGGGGGGGGGGGGGGGGGGGGGGGGGGGGCGGGGGGGGGGGGGAGAATAACCTGTGGGCGGCCATCTGCATAGCTTTGCTGAACCCTAAGGCTCAGCTTTCTGATGTTCGTCACAGTGTTGACAGGTTTAATCCAAAAAGGAGGAATAAAGAAGATGATGCTGAGCTAGGTTAAAGGAAAACATGGATGAATGGGCAACTCAGTTTTTTTTGTTTTTTGTTTTAATGTTTTAAATATTGATTTTTTACAGAGAGGAAGAGAGAGGGATAAAAACATCGATGAGAGAGAACCATCGATCAGCTGCCCCTTGCACACCCCCTACTAGGGATATGCCCTTAACCAAAATCGAACCTGGGACCTTTCAGTCCGCAGACCGATGCTCTATCCACTGAGCCAAACCGGTTTTGGCTATTTTTTTTTTTTTTAATGGAGTAAAATTAGCTTTATAACCATGAAAAAGAATATTTGACAAATAATTAATGTGAAGTTAACTTTGTGTATTTTAGAGATCTCTTTTTAAAAAAATATATTTTATTGATTTGTACAGAAAGGAAGAGAGATAGTTAGAAACATCGATGACTCATTGATCAGCTGCCTCTTGCACACTCCCTACTGGGGATATGCCTGCAACCAAAGGTACATGCCCCTGACTGGAATTGAACCCGGGACCCTTCAGTCCCCAAGCCGACGCTCTATCCATTGAGCCATACCGGTCTCGGCTAAAGATCTCTTTTTTAGTTTATTTGATAAAAGCTCCTGAGTGGCCTCTCTCTCCCCTTGGAGTGATTTCATGTTTGTCACTAAGCCTGAGAGCCAGGCTAGGATCCTGAAGTGTGCTCTTTGTGCTTTTCAGGCCCATTATGCAGTCCAAGCCAGAAGGTCTCGGAGTGTCACTAGGAAAAGGAAGCGGGAAGACTCTGTCCCGCCCACATCTCTTGCCCGGAGTCGCAGTTGCTCTCGAACTCCACGTGATGTGTCTGGTCTTCGGGACGTCAAGGTTAGTCTCTGTCACGTGCAATTAATAACACCAGGGTCTCTGCTTTTGGCTACCAGAACGTTCAAGGCAAAACCTCCCCATCCCTCAGCTGTCCTTTGGTAAGGGTTAGCTGTTCGCTTTTGCCCACAGAACACCATTCTCATAGTGAACAGAAGCATGATGTCATTTGGTACCAAGTGGTCTGAGTTCAGGCCCCAGCTGTTTAAGGGTGTTCTAGGACATGGCCCCTGCTGAGCCCCTGGAGGCCTGGGGCCTCACCACAATGAATCATACTGGGATCCAACCGAGTTTTTTTTTTTTTTTTTTTTTTTTTTTTTTTTTTTATTTTTTTCATAGAGGAAGGGAGAGAGATAGTTAGAAACATCGATGAGACAGAAACATCAATTAACTGCCTCCTGCACATCTCCTACTGGGGATGTGCCCACAACCAAGGTACATGCCCTTGACTGGAATCAAACCTGGGACCTTTCAGTCCACAGGCTGCTGCTCTATCCACTGAGCCAAACCGGTTTTGTTCAGTCTTTCGGGAAAGACACTTTGGATGTACATTGTCTCTTGTTGAAACTTAATTTTATTAAATAATCCCCAAATTCTTAGTTTCTGTATTTTGAAAACTCGGGTAAAGGAGAAAGTCTGTATAAATTGGCAAGCATTCGACTTCATGGAAACACACCTTGCCATCTCCATCTAGAAATCTGATTTTAATATTAGTCTTTCCACTTGTTAAGTGTGAGTAGTATAATTTCATGGGTCCTAATCTGAGTTTCCTTGTTTGTCCAAGAGGGAGTTATAATAGATACACTCTAATCTTCCACACTGAATATATTTGCTCCTTGTAGGTACAAAACTTGTCTGGCTATAATTTTTCTCCTGCATTCACATGCAGGTGTTGGCTGAGTTCCTGCAGGTACTGAAGTGGGTTCAAAATAGCAGTGAGTGGGGCTTACCTGGGTTTTCCAGTACTGAGCACACCTACATTGTAAAGACAGGCTATAAACCAATCGTGAAAATGCGTATGGATATTTGGTCTTCAGTAAGCACCTTACGTGCTTTATGTTTTCTCCTCTTTAGATGGTGAAGAAAGCCAAGACTATGATGAAGAATGCTCAGAAGAAGATGAATCGCTTGGGGAAGAAAGGGGAGGCAGACAGGCATGTGTTTGATATGAAGCCCAAGCACTTACTCTCTGGGAAAAGAAAATCTGGTAAAAAGGACAGGAGATAGTGTCCTTCTCAGCTGAAGCAGTTTGGCGGGACTGTTGTTTGTTTCTCGTTTGATATGGTATGTTTTCACAAAATTGGAGTCAAAATCTGTAAATTGGAAATAACAATGAAATAACTAAAGCACCTTTCCTTCCCCCCCCCCTCAAAATATGGTTAATCCTTAACAATACAGGTGTGAGAAATTTTTATCACTGCCTAATATTGCAAATACTTTGAGTAGACTGATTTCTGCTTTAAAAAAAAAAAGATTGGCCGAAACCGGTTTGGCTCAATGGATAGAGCGTCGGCTTGGGGACTGAAAGGTCCCGGGTTCGATTCCGGTCAAGGACACGTACCTTGGTTGTAGGCACATCCCCAGTAGCGGGTGTGCAAGAGGCAGCTGATCGATGACACTCTCTCATCGATGTTTCTAACTCTCTATCTCTCTCCCTTCCTCTCTGTACAAAATCAATAAAATATATTTAAAAAAAAAAAAAAAGATTATATATATATAATTTTTTTAAATTGATTTCAGAGAGGAAGGGAGAGGGAGAGAGAAATAGAAATATCAGAAATAGAAACAAACATTGATCAGCTGCCTCCTGCACGCCCCCTACTAAGTTTTGGAGCCCACATCCCGGGCATGTGCCCTTGATCAGAATCGAACCTGGGACCCTTCAGTCCAAAGGCTGAGATTCTATCCACTGAGCAAAACCAGCTAGGGTTGGTTTCTGCTTTTAATGGACTTTTGATTGCATCAGATTTGCAGAACTGGGAAGATTTGTTGGTGTGACTGTTGTTTTTGATGGAGAAAAGTCTTCCTCTATTCAGCAAGATGGAACTTTGCATATAAATAGTGCTTCCTTGTTAAGAAAACCTCTCCACTTGTGGCTTTGGGCAGAAGGCTGTTAGTCCTGCTTTGCAGATACAGGTTGTGGGTTTGTTGTATGCCAGCACTAAATTATTTTCTAGTCTTTTTGTACATTGTACCATTGTAATCTGTCTTCATTATTTTATCCAAAATAAACTTTGTTTTAATTATTTTGTTGGTTTGTATTTTCTCTTTCTTCTGTTGTTGTTGTTGTTATTGTTGTTGTTGTGTGTGGAAGGTTTAGTTACAAGTTATTGTCAACTTTGCCAAAAGAAAAGTGAGGATAAAGACTTTTTTTTGTGTGTGGCATAAAGAACAATAAATGTAGGCATGTCCTGTTACAGTAGTTCATGGCTGAAAATTACATTTTAATTATAACAAACACTCCAATACTACCACAAAAGCACCTCCTGGGGAGGGATCTGTTTTCAGTTTTTTGGAGAGAGAGAGAGAGAGAGAGAGAGAGAGAGAGAGGGGAGAGAGAGGGAGAGAGAGGGAGGGAGGGGGAGGGGGAGAGGGGGAGGGGGAGAGGGAGGGAGGGAGAGAGGGGGAGAGGGAGAGGGGGAGGGGGAGGGGGAGAGGGAGGGGGAGAGGGAAGGGGAGGGAGAGGGAGGGGGAGAGAGAGAGGGAGAGAGAGAGAGAGAGAGAGAGAGAAACTAACTCATCCTCCAGTGATAGGGAAGATGGTCTAGTAGGAAGCACCAGGAATTCCTTTGTTCTAGATTAAAGTGGCACCAGCAGAATTTGATATAACTAGCTTGGAAGTCTCTGATGCCTAACCTCTTTTAGGGAAAGTCTGGCCAGTAGGTCAGTTAATTTTGGTCAGTTTTAGCCTTTCCGGGTTAGTATTTTCATAACACCCACTCCCAGTCCTGTTTTTATGTATGGGAGTGGGTTGCCCAGGACTTTGTCCTCCACACACTGGGTTTTGATTGTTGATCACTGCTTCTGATAGCAGAGTTGACACTCATTCTTGCAGTTCCCATAAGCTGAATTTGATTCGGAAAATTTAAAGGTTTAGTGCGTTTTATTCCCCTTTGCATTTTCCTCCCCTTTTTCAGGGGACCAAATATTTAAGAATTTAAAGACCAACTTCATGTTCAGGGGAATTTAGAAAGCCCTCCTCATGCCCAGGGAAATTCACATACTTAGAACTGAGAAGACCTTAAGGGTTTTGGGTTTTTTTATCACCCAAGGACATGTTTATTGATTTTAGTTTTTGTTGGTTTGTTTTGTGTTTATTGACTTTAGAGAGGGGGAGAAAAACAATGTGAGGGAGAAAAATCCATAGGTTGCCTCCCACACACTCCTGGACAGATCAACCCTGCCAGCCAGGCATGTTCTCTGACCAGGAATCAAACCCACAACCTTTTAGTGTATATGATGATGTTCCAACCAACTGAGCCACCCAGCTAGGGCATGATCTAAATTTTTTACTTCATGCTGGCACAGATACCCTACAACAAAAATAAAAAATTCAGCCACCCAGGTAAAGGAAGATAATCTGATTTATGGAATTAGCACATTATATGAGTCAAATACCTAGGTTTTTTTTGTCTTTATTTTATTTATTGATTTTAGAGGAAGGAAGAGAGATGAGAGAGACATCAATTTGCTGTGCTGCTTATTTATGCATTCATTGGTTGCTTGTATGTGCTCTGACTGGAGATCAAACCCACAACCTTGGTGTTTTGGGACAATGCTCTAACCAACTGAGCAACCCAGCTAAGGCCCCAGTTTTCAACAACAACAACAACAAAAATCAAGAAGGCATACAAATAAAGAGGAAAGTATGGCCTAACAGAAACGATCCCTTAGACCAGTGATCAGCAAACTCATTAGTCAACAGAGCCAAATATCAATAGTACAACGATTGACATTTCTCTTGAGCCAAATTTTTAAAACTTTTTCTAATGCCACTTCTTCAAAATAGACTCACCCAGGCCATGGTATTTTGTGGATGAGCAATACTCACAGGGCCAAAGAGCCACATGTGTCTTGTGAGCCGCAGTTTGCTGACCATGGCCTTAGAAAAAATTTAAAAGCTATCTTCTTATTTATTTAAACTTACTGTGATGACAAGTTAATAAAATTATGTAGATTTCAAGTATATAATTCTATAACATATCACCTGTAGATTTCATTTTACCACCCAAAGTCAAACATCCAATTATCATGTATTTGACTCCCTTTACTATTTTCCACTTCCCTTTTCCTCTGATAATCACCATACTGGTGTCTGTATCTATGAATTTTTGGTTTATTGTTTGTTCATTTGTTGCTTTCAGTTTTATATTCCACATGAGTGACTTATTTAATTTAGCATGATATTTTCAAGATCCATCCATGTTGTTGCAATAGCGTATTTCATCTTTTGGTTGAATAGTATTCCATCTTCCTATCTAACAAAGAGAGAATGTGCTAATTGACCCCCACGCCATCGCAAAGATGGCAGCGCCCACAGCCAATAAGGAGGAAATGTGTTAATTGACTGTCCCGCCCTCAAAGACAGCAGTGCCCATAAGCCAATAGGAGGGAATATGATAACTGGCTGTCATACCCTCAAAGATAGTAGCGCCCAGTGCCCTCAGCCTCACCGGGTGGTATCCCCTAGGCAGGCCTGGCCGTTCTGCACACCTGCCTCCAAAGTCCCCCAGTCCCCTCAGTTCCCCAGCCACCCAGGGCCATCCCAAGGTACAAGCAAACCTCAGGTGAAAGTAAGGTAACAAGGGCAGGACGAGGCTTGCGTAGCCGGCAGTGGCAGCAGCAGAGGTGTGATAGGGCGGCGCCTACCCCCAATTGCCAGGTCGCTTCCTTTCCCTGAGGGCTTCTGGACTGTGAGTGGGGGCAGGTGGGCTGAGGGATCCCCCTTACAGTGCATGAATTTTCATGCACTGGGCCTCTAGTAGATATATAAAAGGCTAATATAGCGTCCCTTAGGAATTAGACCAGGAGAATGGAAGTTCAATCACTCACTATGATGTGCACAGAACATGGCAGGTGCCCAGTTGTGGTTAATTATCAAAGGAGATAAAAGACTGAAAAGACAGAATGGGAGAAAATATTTGCCAATATCTGTAAGAGATTAATATCCAGAATATAAAAGGAATTCCTGCAACTCAATACAATAATACTTATTTTAAAAATAGCCCTGGAGCCGACACCGGTTTGGCTTAGTGGATAGAGCGTTGGGTTGGGGACTGAAGGGTCCCGGGTTCGATTCCGGTCAAGGGCATGTACCTTGGTTGCGGGCACATCCCCGGTGGGGGGTGTGCAAGAGGCAGCTGATTGATGACTCTCTCATCAATGTTTCTAACTCACTATCTCTCTCCCTTCCTCTGTATAAAATCAATAAAATATTAAAAAAAAAAAATAGCGCTGGAATTATATCTCAGCTACAGAGAAGAGACTGCTGGTTGCCAGAGGTGGGGGTTGGAGTGTGAGCAGATGAATGACAGAAGTTAAAAGGTATAAATAAATTTCCTATGTAAGATAACTAATTCATGGGAATATAATATATAGCATAGTGACTATAGTTAAAAATATTATATTGGCCGAAACCAATTTGGCTCAGTGGATAGAGCATTGGCTTGTGGACTGAAAGGTCCAGGTTCAATTCCGGTCAAGGGCATGTGCCTTGGTTGTGGGAACATCCCCAGTGGGCGGTGTGCAAGAGGCAGCTGATCGATAATTCTCTCATCGATGTTTCTAACTCTCTGTCCCTCTCCCTTCCTCTCTGTAAAAAAATCAAAATATATTTTAAAAAATATATAGTATATTGCCCTGAGCAAGGTGGCTCACTTGGTTGGAGCATTGTCCCAATACACCAAAAGTTTGATTCCTGGTCAGGGCACATACTCAGGTTGTGGGTTTGATTCCTGGTTATGACATGTACCGAAGGCAACTGATCAACGTTTCTCTCATATATTGATGTTTCTCTTCCTCTAAAACCAATTTTAAAAATACTATATTACAGCCCTTGCCAGTTTGGCTCAGTGGATAGAGTGTTGGCCTATGGACCCACGGGTCTTGGGTTCAATTCCGGTCAAAGGCACTTACCTCAATTGCAAGCTCCTCCCCAGCCATGGCACGTGTAGGAGGCCACCAATCGATGTTTCTCTCACATTGTTATTTCTCTTTGTCTTTCCCTGTCTCTTCTACCCTATCTAAAAATCAATGGGAAAATACATTGGGTGAGGATTAAAAAAGAAGTCTATGTAATAAAAGCCTAATATGCAAATTGACTTAATGGATGAACAACTGGAGGAATAACCATTTGCT